TATACCGCATGAGCCCAACAACATGAACACTGAATTCATAGAAGTAGTTAATTCAATGGTGGCAATATATGAAAGGAAGATGGCATATAAGGGGTATATCACAGGAAGAAAGAATGAAGCGATTTTAATCTCTTAGTTCAAGAGAAGACAAAGAGTGTATACACTTACACCATTGTGATCGATTCTAAGACATTTCACACACAGTCTCTAACCATTGATTAAGATAGTCACGCGGACCTCAACCAAGTAGTGTGGATCTACCAACATGGTTCAGACTAGAAGTTAGTGACTTCAAGCACTGATGCCACGTTTTAGTTTGGTCACCCCTAACATTCTTTCAACCGTATCCAACACTAGTAAATCAGCATTGTGTGTCATAGCAATCGGTATTCAGGCATACGAAGCACGTGGCCCAACCATTTCAGTCAATAAAGATTCACAACCTAATCAACTGATTTACCATCATTCCCTAATATCTTGAGTCTTACCTGACTATTACTTACCCGATGATCCCATCAGATGACAGGAATATCCAAAAGTTAATGCTATAATATATCAATTATAATTGATAAACAAAATCGGTAGATTTTGAAGTGCTCGATCTACATTCGGTACCATAATCCATAATTATAAAAAAGTAATAATTTCAACAAGGTTATTTTAATTTCAGTGAACTAGTCAGATGTAGTATATGATGGAAATATGACTATAGTCTATACATGTAGTTATGACCTTCGTTTGTCTACCCACTTTTGGTGCCAAGGATACTTGTCTAATCTAGATTTCGACCTTGATGCGATAGGCTGATCGGCTTAACGTTGAGACTAGTAAGCGTGAGTTCGAGATGGGGTAGACAGAAAGAAAAACTATTCTGTCACTTGATTGGTGGGCAAGCACACGAATGAGAGAAGACAAGACAACTGGAACACTACTCGATCTATTTCCCTGACCACTGAACTCACTGGATTCACTGAATTCAGATTAGTGTAAAAAGGTACATGAATAAATAGGTGAATAACCCGACCTCAATGTACAATAATTAGGAAAAATACAATTATGTCCAAAACTGGGAATTAGAGTAGAAAATAGGGTGCAAATTAATATGTTTAAATGACAATAGCTTCGAAACAGAAAACAGTATGGCAGTGAATGATACATCGAACGAAAGCTTATGTTCTGTAGAATAGATTAGGGACAAAAATAAATGTGACTGTGTTTTACAAGTTTTGAATAAAAAATGAAATAACGTCCCGAAAAATAGCCTTGGTAGTTTGTCAGGGCTTCTTGTTTCTTGGTTCACATCACATGTAAATAAAAAGATATTTTAGAGTTCAGTTATCATAATAACAGACAATTAAGAACGAGAGATATGTATGTAGCAGTGTATTTATAAGCAGTTAGCAGTGTGTATCTTGCTGTAGGGAATTTAAAATGAAACAGGAAGGTTTCAAGGTGACTATTAACTTACCTTGAGTAATGTTATTGATAACTTAAGAGTATGCCTTACTACTTTTAACTATTAAGTAGATATGCCATTAAGATTCAAAATAACATTTAGCTATATCCAGTAGATTACTGTAGTCTATGAATTTATTTCAACTTTTATACAAATTTCGCTAAATTAATATAGACTGTATTTTCAAACAAAAATTCATATATTCAATAGAATATACTCATTTACTTATTCACTTCTTAAATATTGAGCTATATGCTGGCTCAGTGGTCTAGTGGTTAAGTGCTCGCGCGCGAAACCACTAGGTCCTGGGTTCGAATCTTGTGGGGGGGGCGACGTCGTGAATGCGCACTGCTGAGGAGTCCCACAATAGGACGAAATGGCCGTCCAGTGTTTCCAGGTTTTCCATGGTGGTATCTAGCTTCAACTGACTCATCATCTTAACCATTGAAAATCCCTAAATAAGTATTGATATCGAGAATTCTCTAAATGGTTAATTAAATGACCTTGAAAGGTTACAATATATCAATAAGATAAATGACACTCTTGATCTTCCCAACTATTCGTACTATAAATGATATCTTTTATTCGATACATGATTTAGTTACCATGGGAAAAGGGAACAATTTCTTGTTAAATTATGTTCAGGATAAAATTTGTTCTACATGTTATTTCTTTTCATTACTATTGTAGTGAACAAGAACACCAATGGGGACAATCGAATGTATTTGACAATAAATTACACAAATAGTTATTATAATCTAACAACCATATAGTGAATGGTTAATTTGCAAAAATAACAATCCATCATATCAAACTTGACTGTTCCTGTTGCAAACATCAATCGATTGTCTGTCCTTTCATTGTTCATGAGTTTCCATACAAATTCGACTGTGTTCCGCTCTTCCTTTCTTGATCTTCCCTCATCTTCTACTGCCAGACATTATGTTCCTAACTCGCATCACATACTACTTATGTCTACATAAGTAGCACACACCACACTATGACATAATGTGGTGTGTGCTATTGATATCGATAGATATAAGTAGTATGTATCACCAATCGAAAGTGAAATGTCTAAAGGTAGAAGATTAAGAAGATCAAAGAAAAGAGAAAGAGAACAGAAAATGATTGATGTGAAAATGAAGGAACAATAAAGTCGGAGATGATTGGTTGACATTTGTAAAAGAAACAGTGAGGTTTTAAACAATTTATTAAAGTTTTGCAAATGAAGTATTAATTGTATAGATGGATAGTGGTTAGCAGTGGAATCCAGAATGCGCGTTTCGTCGTATTTGGGACTAGTCAGTTGGATGTACTTGCATCTCAGACTTGTTGATGTTCACTTTGGGACTTGAACCCTATACCATTCGCTTCAAACGCTATCGCGTTATCCACTCAGCTACTGAGTCCCCATTGCCACTTGCATGTGCAATGGGATGAAGTTTACATTCACTTGGTATTGTTTTATTTGAAATAATGCTTGTAAATTAAGGCAATATCGAGGCAATACACACAGTATGAACATATGCCATTAGGATTCTGATCAATTGCAGTCCTAAACATCAATCGGAAGATTCAAGTAAAACAATACAAAGTGAATATTAATTGTATAGTTTTTAAATTTTACTAAGATGTTCTGTAATTTTGCATTGAAATACATTCAATTGTCCTCACTTGTGTTCTCGTCTACTACTATATTTGTTATATGGAAACATATTGAAATACAACCAATTCAGATGGGAAATGATTGCAAATTATTGTGGATTCATTAAAGTCGGACATTCATACTACTAGATGTTGTTTCAAGAGTATGGAAGTTAAGAAGTTGCTGCGAGACCTTTGATTTATGGGTTCGATCTACTGTACTGAGGTTGTAAATTCATACAGCTGATGAGTCCCACACTGAGGCGAAATGACTGTCTAAGGCTTTCTGGCTTTCGATAATGGTTTAGTTCAAATCAATTCGTGATATAAAAACAAAATAGAGAATTAAAAAAACAATATCAGTCAGTCAGTCAGTCAGTCAGTCAGTAACAACGTGGAACTTCGTACGTACATACGTCAGTACGAGTTACCATACCACATTCAGTTGTCGATTCAATATGAAAACGTCTAAACACTTAAATCAAGTATCCTTTATAAATGAGCTTGTTTATCAACGAAGATTAATCAATCCATCTATGAATGATTGTTGACGAAAGTAATGATAACTCTAATGTGTGAAAAAAGTTCTTATGTTGAAATCTTACAATGTATGCAGTATAAAGGATCGGATTCATAATGGATTAGTTTCCACTACCATTGAAATTATATATAGTACACTTTCATTTATATTCTCATGTTTATACAATAAGTATTGAGGTTATTGAGTTTAAATGGATATCATGAATGGATCAATGTCGGAACACTAATGAATACATGAAAGTACTGGACAGCCTTTTCGTCCTAGTATAGAACTTTTCGTCAGTGCGTATTTGATTGAATTGTAATTGCACTATTATTTCTTTCAATCTATCTGACTCATATTTATTGTGATCATGGTTCTTAAAGGTGGGTTGGAGAATGCTGGTCGGCGGCCTATGCTCCATTGGGAGTAACAGGCGTAAGTAAGTAAGTAAGTAAGTAAGTAAGTAAGTAAGTAAGTAAGTAAGTAAGTAAGTAATGGTTCTTAAAAATTTCACTTAACATATACGCAGATTTATGTTACTATTCTATCTGAGTCATTTCAAATATTAATAATTTTATTTTAAAATGAACGTTAAGAGGTTCGAGTCCCTGTGTGAACATCAACTGTGGGATGTAGATACATTCAATTGACCCGTTTCGTATAGCATGAAACGCGTGTTAAACTGGATTCCACTACTAGCTACTATCCATCTTTGCTTATAATGCTTATGAATTAAAGCAATATCTAGGTTATCCTTACAGGATGCACATATGCCAATAACAAAGGGATCAGTTATACTCTTAAACAACAATGAGAAGATACAAATAAACAATACCGAGTGAATATATTAAATTCACATGGTTGTAAGGATGTACTTTACCTTAAACCTGTCCCGTTTTTCGAATTATTCATTTGAATATATGAATTGTAGAACCTGAAAAGAGTTTCTCGAAAGGAATAATTTTTTGAAATATGTAGATGTTATGAACAATCAATCCAGATATTTGAACAATCTACTAATAGTGGTTGATAATATAATTACATGAACTTTATTATAACTGCTCTAGAAACAAAAATCTAAACTTAAAAATATATAAATATATTTATTTGAATGGTTAAGATGATGAGTCAGTTGAAGCTAGATACCACCATGAAAAATCTGAAAACACTGGACAGCCATTTCGTCCGATTGTGGGACTCCTCAGCAGTGCCCATCCACGACCTCGCCCACCACGCGAGATTCCAATACAGGACTTACTGGTTTGACGGTCGAGCACTTTACCACTCGACCACTGAGCCAGTCGGTATCCAACAGTGTTAATATCTAACTTCAACTAATTCACGAAATTGAGCAACACATCCATCATTGTTATCAGTGAGTTACTATGTCACAACAGACCCTTTCGGATATTTCTTTGTTTCCAATATACAATATAAATAACAAAAAAAAATAAAGAACACCAATGTAAATTTTTGATGACATAACTTTCATAAAAATAGATGCTGTATTTTTCATTAATATACTTTTGAATAGAATGTTGACTCATATTATTAACCAATCAGATTATAGTTTTTTAAATCTATTTTCCTATTGGTTAAAAAATGTAAGCCTAAAAAATATATATATATATATGCTACGAAAAAAGAAAAAAATAACCCATTTTGAATTGAATTCATTGTAGTAAATTACAAATCTTTACTGACATCTATTAGCTCTTGTGAAAGAGCATAGATTGACTATTTACCATTCATTAATATTCTTTATTGAATCCTTTCCAGAGAAAACTTTTACTTTCTTACTTACTTACTGTTATCCTTTGTGGAAGAGCATAAACCATCCAGCAAATACTTTCCATTCAATCTTGTTTTGGGTTATCCTTTCCAGTGAAAACTTTAATTATATGCTTATTTTATTATTATTATTATTATAATTCATAATGAATAATCAATTAAATACCATAAATAAACAATCTAATTTACAATTATATAGAATAATTAAACTTGATAATAATAATAATCCTAATCATAATAATCAAATTTTTACATTTATAATACCATCACAATTTATTAAAGGTTTTTTACCTAGTATTCAATCTAATGAATTTTATTATGCTGGACATTATTGGTATATACGTATGGAATATGATATTCATACAAATGATCAATCTAATACTACTCCTACTCCTACTCCTACTACTCCTACTACTACTCATACTACTACTACTACTCATACTACTACTCATAATACTAAACAATTTATTCAATATAATAAACAACCTATAAATATATCAATTCATTTATGTCATTTATCTAATGGTTTATTATGTCATATGAAATCAATGAAATTTACTATACCACATCAATTCGATTATAGATTAAATTTAATACATCAAATTGATAATATTTATTTTACAAATAAAAATTTATTCTATCAATCAATATCATGGATTCAAAATAATTCAATATTATTTAATCAATATTATTTATTTGATAATTATACATGTTTATTAGAAATTGAATTCATTGATTTTATTACAATTTATGAAGAACAATTACATATCCCGAAAACAATTAAAGATATATTACATGATCAATGTATTGAATCAACAACATTTACCTATTATAATAATGATTGGAGTTTTATTATTGATTGGAAACATACTACTAATAAAAATTATAAAGATAATCGTCCTAAATGTTATCTACAAAAACATAATACATTAAAACATTGGTTACGTATACAATATATGATTTTCATTGATTGGTATCAATTAGGTCAATATAAAACAGATATATTAGATCATTTAATCAATCCAGATTATAGTTCTATTACTGAACCATTATTGATTGGTGATATCAATTGGTTTGTAAATCATACATTATCAACTATAATTAAATTAAAACATAAAATTTTTATAAAAATTTATTTTTATTCTATTACTTATATGAATTTTATTAATTTAATACCAACATTACCATATTATCATGAAAATTGTTGTCAATTTATTGATCCATATGGTATAGAATGGTTTATTATAAGTGATATATTAGGAAAATTAGTACAATTGAAATTATATTGTATAAATCAATTGAATAATTTTAATGATTTCCAATATATTGATTATAATAATAATAATAATAATAATCAATTTAATGTACAAGTAAGATGTACAGCATGGTCAATTCAATTAATCCCATATAATAAATCATTAAATAATGTCAAATCAATTAGTCCATTCTATGTGATTTATACTTCAATGAATAATACTACTAATAATACTACTAATACTACTAATAATAATACTACTCATACTACTACTAGTACTACTAGTACTACTACTACTAATAGTAATATCAATCAAACAATGATAAAACAAAATACAAAATTAAATTATCAAGAAATTATTCTAAATTTAGATGTTGAAAAGGTATGTTGATATATTTTCTCTTCTGTTTACTTTTTAATGATGATGATAATGATCATGATTGATGAATTGATTATGAATTAGTAGTTGAGTAGATAATATGATGATATTTGAAATGAATGGTATTGAGTTCGAATCCAGAAAAGAAAATTGGGTTAAAGGTGGTCTTAATGACTTGAGAGAGTGACTGCAGTGCTTAAGGAACAACTGATTAAAGTTGGTCATACACAACCTTTTTGTGAGTAATTTATTGTGTTAGCACCGCATTTGTTGAGACCTTACAGTCAGAGACGGATATCCGTGCGATAAGGCGAGGTGTGCATTTTTAGAGTCCAGCTTTTCTACCCCCACCCCTCCTTGTGGGAACGCAGCATCGCTGTTATGCTGGTTGTCTGAAGGAAATACCTTACTGATGTCACACATCTGTATGGTCTTCAGTACGACATCGCCTTCAGACCTTGAGTTTGTTGCTTTCAGTCTTACCTCTCTTGAACCGACCTTTCTGGCATGATAGGACCTTGAAGGAACGATTAATCCAGCCAGTATAGCTCAGTTGCTTTCTACTCTTACAATTGAAGAGGGGGGTTTCTAACATGAATCAATTATTGATTTTAACAAATAATTATAGTATCTAATGAAAGCTTGTTTAAACTAAGTTTATGATGAGATTACTTATAAGAATCTATATTAACTATAAACATGTTTCAGAAAATGTATGTATGTATTTTTCAACGAAGTTATTGTGGTGTATGCAGCTGATGTCGACAGATATAAGTAGTATGCATCATCAATCGAAAGTGAAATGTTTAGAGGTAGACAATTAAGAGGATCAAAGAAAACAGAACGAGAACAAAGAATGATTATTATGGAAACGAAAAAACAACAAAGTTGTAGATGATTGATAGAGATTTTGTAAGCGAAGTATTTACTGTATAATTCTCAGATTTTACTGAGATATTCTGTAATCTTATATTCAAATACATTCGATTCTCCCCACTTGTATTCTCCTTCACTACATAGAAGAATCATAGTGATCATTCGTTACTACTGAACTACAACAAATATATAATGTATTAAGGTGATTTTATTATAATCAATATATAGTTTGATTCCTTTAATAGTAATGTTGTTATGGTGTATACTACTGATGTCGATAGATATAAGTAGTATACATCATCAATCGAAAATGAAATGTCTAATGGGAAAAAAAATTAAAAAGATCAAAGAAACAAGGATAAAAACAAAAAAAATAATTAGTGTAGAATCGAATTAGCAACAAAGTCTGAAAGGATTTATTTACATTCTATAGAAGGATTGTTTTTTTTGGAAAAATTTGTAACGTTTTATCTTTTGATATACAAAAACATTTCAAAAGCGTAATTGTTTTTTGTTTATTTTATTTTTTTGTTTTTTTTTTCTTTGTTTTTTCTGTAATTTATTATTTAAATTAAAAAAGAAAAGAAAAAAAAAAGAAAAATTCTGAAAACAAATGATTAATGTATATTCTACCATATAGAATTAGATGAATATACCTACATCCGAGAATTGATATTCACTTGAGAACTCGATACCAGTAATATTCACTTTAATTATCATTATGTTATCCACTTAGTAACTGAATCGTTATAGCAACCTGTTTAGCATTGTTGTAGTGTCTGTTATTATGTTAAGACCTTATAGCTTATTTTAGCTTTCGAACAGCTCAATCTATTCATTCTATTTGAGTCACATTCTGATGTGGTTAGTTATTCACTTATTAATCTTGACTGTTTTCATATGAGTGCTTTAGTAGGTGTGTGTACACTTCTTATTGTATTACTCATCACATGTGTGTAACTTATTTTTGTATGTCTGTAAATATTCATTAATGTTTGACTAGTTGGGAGTTGGATTATCCACGATCTATACCACGTGTCAATTTTGCTTCGTTTTCTTCTGTTCGCATCGTTTCCCCGTTCGTTTGTCTGGATGGACGATTATACAAAATAACCGGCCGTACACTGTAACTGATCAGTTTGTTAATGACATATGGCTGAGTGAATTCAATGCCGAAATCCGAAACCCCAATTATCTTATACTTGATTAATTCATCCATAAATTATAGTCTCATTCAATCTAGTTTAAAGGTTTTATATGTTCTTTTTTCTTTTTCTTTGTTAAACTATCTCTTATTTAATGCATTTTGTTATTATTTCATCAGTATTAAACATATTATTCATCATTATGTGATTAGATGATGGTTGGAGATAGTTGACAGGTAACCCTGGACCCGGGTTTCCTGCTACTTGGCACTCGTCAGCAAGCTGTACCTGTATTCTTTGAGGGAACTCGTGCTCCCTGATGGAATCGATCCCGTGTCACCCAGCTTCACAGTCAGAGACGTTACCACTGAGCTATCCGAGCCGCGACCGACCTCCTATAAGACATGGTTGATAGCATTCGATCTGCACTAATGATAATAAGAACTAGACATGCATGACATTGATCACCACCCAATGATCAATCAATTGTAATCATTATGTATACAATACATATGGAGTAGTAGTTTAGTAGGTAAACCGAATTAGAATTTAGGTAATAAACAACATATATGTATTTTAACCTTATTTACTCTAGTCAGGTTAGTACACTCAATGATCTTCACTAACTTTCATATAGTTTGTCTCAAAGTAGAATAAATAGTTGGATTTAAACTAGACAAATAATAAATTATTGAAATATGATATATAACTCTAATTTGATGACATCTACATAACTATTTTTCTATAAAATTTATACCTTTTCAGCTTAGTGATTAAGCATATTTACCGTTCTCATATATGACATAGTTTTATATATTTGGGAAGCATTATCGATGAACACGTTAGATCTGATGCACATGTGAAGGCGTGGATCGGAAAAGCAACAGCAACATATTTACAACTGAAGAACATTTGGAACTCAAAACAACTGTCTGTCAACCAACACCAAAGTCAGAATTTTCAAAACAAATGTGAAGACAGTTCTACTGTATAGGGCAGGAAACTGGAGAACTATGAAAGCCATCATACACAAGATACAAGTGTTTATTAACAGTTGTCTACGCAAAATACTTCATATCCGCTGGCCGGACACTATTAGCAACAACCTACTGCGGAAGAGAACAAATCAGATTTCAGTGGAGGAAGAGATCAGGAAGAAGCGCTGTAAGTGGATAGGACACACATTGAGGAAAGCACCCAATTCCGTGCGTCACAAAGCAAGCCCTCACATGGAATTCTCAAGGTCGAAGGAGGAGAGGAAGACCAAAGAATACATTACGCCGGGAAATGGAGATAGACATGAGAAAAATAAACAAGAATTGTATAGAACTAGAAAAGAAGGCAGAGGAGAGAGTGGGTTAGTGAATGCTGGTTGGCGGCCTCTGCTCCATTAGGAGTAACAGGCGTAAGTAATTAATGTACGATATAGTAAAAAATAAATATAGCTGTTAGGAGTTCATCACAATGATTATCTTCCTAAAATCATATCTCTATCTACAAAATGCTGAATTTGGTTACCCCCCCCGCTATGAAAAGCTTGTTGGTAATTAGAATATAAAAAAGTTTAAGAGACGCATATATCGATTTCATATCGATGATTCTTTGTTCGCATTCTCTTTTCTTTGATCTTTTTAATTTTTTTTTCCCATTAGACATTTCATTTTCGATTGATGATATATACTACTTATATCTATCAACATCAGTAGTATACACCATAACAACATTACTATTAAAGGAATCAAACTATATATTGATTATAATAAAATTACCTTATTACATTATATATTTGTTGTAGTTCAGTAGTAACGAATGATCACTATGATTCTCTTATGTAGTGAAGGAGAATACAAGTGGGGAGAATCGAATGTATTTGAATATAAGATTACAGAATATCTCAGTAAAATCTGAGAATTATACAGTAAATACTTCGCTTACAAAATCTCTATCAATCATCTACAACTTTGTTGTTCTTTGGTTTCCATAATAATCATTCTTTGTTCTCGTTCTTTTTTGCTTTGATCCTCTTAATTGTCTACGTCTAGACATTTCACTTTCGATTGATGATGCATACTATTTATATCTGTCGACATCAGCTGCATACACCACAATAACTTCGTTGAAAAATACATACATACATTTTCTGAAACATGTTTATAGTTAATATAGATTCTTATAAGTAATCTTATCATAAACTTAGTTTAAACAAGCTTTCATTAGATACTATAATTATTTGTTAAAATCATGAATTGATTCATGTTAGAAACCCCCCTCTTCAATTGTAAGACTAGAAACACTGGGCAACCATTTTATCTTAGTAACGGAGGAAATATATAGTACTCATTTTGTTAACAAACACTTATGAGCGTTGAAATGATTAGGATATATATATATATATATATATATATATATATATATATATATATATATATTCATGATCTTCCCGACCGTTGTTGCTACGTTGACGTGATGGTCAAGCTTGCCTATTGTGATGAAGCAACTGAGCTATACTGGCTGGATTAATCGTTCCTTCAAGGTCCTATCATGCCAGAAAGGTCGGTTCAAGAGAGGTAAGACTAAAAGCAACAAACCCAAGGTTTGAAGGCGATGTCGTACTGAAGACCATACAGATGTGTGACATCAGTAAGGTATTTCCTTCAGACAACCAGCATAACAGCGATGCTGCCTTCCCACAAGGAGTGGTGAGGGTAGAAAAGGTCAACACTAAAAATGCACAACTCGCCTTATCCCACGGATATCCGTCTCTGACTGTAAGGTCTCAACAAATACGGTGCTAACACAATAAATTACTCACAAAAAGGTTGTGTATGACCAAGTTTAATCAGTTGTTCCTTAAGCACTGCAGTCACTCTGTCAAGTCATTAAGACCACCTCTAACCCAATTTTCTTTTCTGGTACCTTTAGAAGAACCCTTCCACGGTGTTGGCAACCGGGAAGTGATAACCGCCCTCATACCTCTAACAG